AAAGCCACTTACATTTGAGTCTGGGGTCAAATGTTGCCTCTTCTAGAAGTTGTCCCTCCCTGTTTCAAAGGCATTTCTTCTCTCTTAGCCATGTCCCAACCTTGTCATTATTTGCTGTTTTCCTTCCCCATCTTCATTGTTTGCCTGTGTGTATGTATGTAAGGAAACCAGTCACCTCCCTAATAAAACAAGACCCAGCCCTTCAGAGCTGGCAGTTGGGGAAGCTCTAACTGGGGAGAGGGAAGAGTGCTCACCAACCTCATCTTCCTACACCCCACCTAAACTTCTTCAGGGCCATCTGTCCCCTTCTCTGTCCCCTTTCCATCAGGAACCATTTTCATTCTTGAAATCCCGAGTCAAAAAAGAGAGACAGGATTTCCTGGGTCTGTGATCAACTTTCTAAGTTCTGTTTCTGTCTGCAAACACAACCGCTTTTCAGCAGATGATTTAAACTGGGCAGATATCCACCCATTTTCTTCCCCTTCAGCCTTCTGCACACAGGGTCATGGTCCGCCTCTGTAACTCAAAAGGATGGCCCCACCAGAGAAGCAGCAGTAGGTGCAGATTCTTGCAAAAGGTGCAGTAGTTGTTACTATTTCCAACCTTGTTCAGAAGCTCCTCCAGGACACAAAAACAGATCATTTTATTTTATATTCCAATCTCAAGTCCCGTGCCTGACACATGACTGGAAATTGATATGTATTTGTGGAGAGATTTTTTTTTCAATCATGACTTTCTCTACAGAACTCTAAAGTAAAGGATAACGCTGCAGAGTTGGTGTAAATAAGCCAACTGCAGTTGTAATGGCACCCCCTCCTTCACAGAAAATCTTAACTAAGCTTCTCCAGAAATCTTTACCATAATTGATTTTAGGACTATCAGCAAAAGTGTCTCTACAAAAGAGTTCAATGTAGGTAAACTTCCTATTTTCCTTTTGCTCTATTTTACTTGGCCACTGGCCTGGAAGAAATCARCACTCCAGGTGCTGGATGCCCCTTTCTAGTTTTTCACATTTTTCCAGCATGGCAGTGTGTAGAAGGTGTTTGCAAGTGCTGGGTATAAAGTTCTGAAACAACCTGAACTCGGGGTTCAGGGGATTAATTGATTACAGCGAAAGCTGTGCCCTCTGAACCTGTCTCCTGCTATCTTCAGTGCCCTGCCTCGTCTGCCCCCTACAACACAGAACAGTTTTGGAGTGCTAGAATGTCTGATCAGTGGACACGAGGATGACCCTCATGGCCAGAGCTGCCCAGGAACACTGGGGTATAGGTGACTCACCTACGATGTGCAGCAGAGCCATCCCACAACCCCGAACCCCAACTGATGTGATGTGCAAGGGCACAGCAAGACCTTTCGGGCTGTCCCCAGGCTTCCCCTTGGGCTCTGGCCAACCCTGTCCCTGGCATCATCTGCAATGTCTCCCTGTCACTTGTTAAAGCTCAGCCAGCGTGTGAATTCCAGGCAACCTCTGGACACCGACTGCCCGGTTTTCTCCTGGGGGCTCTACCATCTTGCTTTCCCACCACTTCCTCCCTCTCTCAGCTTTAAGGAATAACACCTTGCCTACCCACCCTCCTTCCTCCTTCTCCTCTCCTTCTCTGTCCCCTTAGTTTGATTGAGTTTGGCTTTTGTGCACCTCTCCTCTTCTTTCATACCAGATGACTGAGCTTGAGTTCTAAGCTGTCAATCATCTAGTGTTCTGTCTCCCTTTGGCTCATCTCTGAACCCCCACATGATAACTCTGACAAAGTCCCTTGATTAAGGAAGGAGGCACTCAGGTCACGGTGAAAGGGCAAGACAAGACATGAGCCACTGGGTTGTGTCTCCTCATCGTCCTGCTTTTACAACAGGTCCAGGAGAAGAAGATGCAGCCATCAGTGTGCTGAGTTGTACACAACAAGAGGACATAACTCTTCTTATGAAAAATACATTTCTTCCAGACACAGTGCTGCAATCCCAGCAACTCAGGAGGCCAAARCAGGAGGATCACAACTTTGAGGCCCTCCTCAGTAAMTTAGTGAGGCCCTATGCAACTTAGCAAGACCCTGTCTCAAAAATAAAAATAAAAAGGGCTGGGGGTGAACTTAGTGGTTAAGCAYCCCTGGGTTCAGTCCGGTACCAAAAAGAAAAAAAGAAAGAAAGAAAAGAAAAGAAAAAAGGAGAAGAAGAAAAAAGAAAGACATTTCTTTTACTGAAATTATTGAAAATGGAAATTACTTTCTCTACATACAACAAGTACTCAGTGATTCCTTTGTGGAATGAGAATGTGCGCAGACTTCAGAGTAGGGTAGAATTCTGTTTGCTTGATAGGTATGGGGAAAATTAAACACAAAGGTACAGGAACCTAGTGGGTAGCTGCCAGAAGGGACTCGATTCTTCCTGCTGTTAAAATACTCCAGAGAGCAGAACTGTACAGGCTTGTTTATGTAGAACCCAACAGTGAGCTCATTCAGGAAGTCCTTTTAAACCAATTATGTACTAAATTATTTACATTCGGCTTCTGACATTTGGCTTTGTTGCTTATTTTTAAGCAATGGAATAAAATACCTACATGATAGCAAGAGATGATGGCAAATGTTGACATTACCAGGGTGAACCAATCGCTAATGGTTTTGCGTGTGAGATCATTGCTCTTGTGCTGCACTACATTAATAGACAAGATGAAAGACTGCTCCAGGATTGGCGGGGAGGTCATAGAAGAAAACGTCCTTTCCACTTTTGGAAAATGTAAAGCCATTAGAAAGTTAGGAGGGCAGTTATTTTAATGTTAAGATAAGGCTTTTAACGAATTTTCTGGTAAAGGAACTGGAACAGAGTGTCAGACACATCTGGGCCACCCTTACTAGAAAATGTCCCTCCGAGGTATTTTCCATGGATGAGAGAATCTTTATGGTTCTCATTGTCAAAGTCCTGGAGAAGCTTGAGGATGTCTAAGAAAACAGGAAACAGAGTTCACTCTGTGGAAAGCTCAGGGAAGAAAAAGAATGGCTGAAAAATGTGTCTCCCCTAAAGAATCTTTAAACAAAAGAAAAGTGGGAAACAATCAAAATAAAAAAGCTGGCAGAGACGGTGGAGAGGGCAGTGGGGGCTAGAGAGCCCACTGGCTGTGTTTTGAATTCTAGGCTTTATTCTACTAGACTTCCCCACGCTCTTCCCTTAAAAAGCACCCCCCACCTGAATACTTTTTCATGCTACTTAAAGTTCAGAATCTAATTAAAGAAATTTGCTAGATGTTATTTAGCCTAAAATAGGTAAAGAATTCCAAGAGCTCTTAGAAATTTTAGATACACATAAAGAATTCAGACAAGCTTTGACCAGACAAGGTAGGATGAGGATGATAATGTTTCTTCTATCTCTTTGACCAAATAAATTTCTCAAACCTCCCAGTGGTCCATTTTGTTGTCTACATGAGCATATAAGATTCTTCTCTGCAGCATCAGAAAGATCTGAGAGGTGCCTGGGCTGTTGAATGATCCGTGACCATGCTCTTGGGACCAGAAGTTTACCTTTACTTTGGGGACCTGCTGGGGATCTGAGAGKAGTCTCAGAAAATTGCTAGAGYTACAGCCAGACTGTCGGGTGAGCTGGAGGCTTTCAGAATCGCAATTACTGCTGCTGCTGTAGTGCACCCAGGGCAGCCGAAGAAGCTCTGAGACTCTGGGATAGGACTGAAGGGACAGGTTCCAGCAGCCACTGGAGTTAGTGTTCACCCTGATGTCCAGTGAGCACGGGAGGCTCCCAGGGAGATACTTGCCCCTGTATTCACCTGCTGCAGAATAACTAAAGCCCAGTTCTCCTCACCATGCTAGATGCCCCAGRACAGGCTGTTGTGATCACCAAATCATTACAAGGAGAAAAACCATCTCTTACAGCCCCTTCCCAAGCCTGGTGGGCCCAGGAAGTACTCTGGTTCTTCTCTTGGTGTTGACCAGCCCATTGCCCATTTTTCTATACCCTGTCAGTTGGAGAATGGGAATTTTGTAGAACTAAGCCACAGGAATACCAAGAGGAGCCGAGGAGCTGAGGAGACTGAACCTGCCAGGGGCTGACTCCGCCTGGAGGAAGGACCTCTTCTCTCAGCCTAAGGGCACCACGTGGTCCAGCAGCAGCGTGGCAAACTGTCTGGGGTTTGGCGAGACAGAGTGCGTCTGTCTGCATTGTGCAGGCCTCAGAGGCACAGAGCCAAAGGCTCACCTCACAGGTACCCTCCCACTCTCCAGTAAGAGCTAGGGACAAGGGTGACCAGGTACCCCTCCAACGCGTGTTTGCAGATCACAGGTAAATCAACCACTGTCCTGCTCTGTGAGGGGCAAACGTCCCACGCCCTTCAGGAATTCTTTTTTTTTTTTGAGAGAGAGAATTTTTTTTAAAGAGAGAGAGAGAGAGAGAGAGAGAGAGAGAGAGAGAGAGAGAGATTTTTTTAATATTTATTTTTTTCTTTTTTAGTTTTTGGTGGGCACAGCATCTTTGTATGTGGTGCTGAGGATCGAACCYAGCGTCCCACGCATGCCAGGCGAGCGCGCTACCGCTTGAGCCACATCYCCAGCCCCCTTCAGGAGTTCTTAAGTCATCAAGCCATTTGTCAGTATTATAGTTTTTTATTTCAAACAAASAAATAATTCTTATCCTGAGAAAATACTTCTCTCAGACAACTTCCCTTGTAGATGAAGAACTTACTTTTAAGGGTTATCTGGATTCACTTTTAATTTCTTAAAAAGGCGAAAATTGGAATTGTGAGGAATATCTAGTGCTGATAAATGTACCAGGTCTTCCCCTCAAACAAGCTGGTTGAAGAGAAGCTGCGTCCTGGACCACAATAAATGGTTCCTTCATGGCAGAGGGCACCCTTTCTSCTGGGCTGCGCCCAGATATGTGGGCAATTTTAATATGTGGTTTTACTCAAAGAAGAGCCCTACATCATGCAAGCGCAGTGCCACCATAAACACCACACCAAGGGCAGCGCCTCTGGCTGAAGTGGAGGCAGAGGGTCCAGTTCGAGTTGTCAGAGTCCCTTGCTGTCCTCTTTTTCTAGTGCTTATGAAGCACCTGGATGAAACCGTATGGAGGATGCTGAAAAGCAAAGACAGGGGYGCTCCACTCAGCTCATTCTCCAGCTGAGCGGCTGTCACACACCTGCAGGCCCTACAACACGTCTGTCACTGGCCACTGCACGTGGCACAGGGAGTCATGGCTCTCGGACAGCCCAGAGACAGTCCTAACCCCCAGGTCTGAACCCTGGGCAGAGAGCCATCTGTGGGACAGTGAGCTGGAACTTAGGGAGCCCACAGGCAGAACACAGCACGCAGGTGACCGTGCCTCCATAACTCAGCCAGGGCACACACCCTTCTCCATTCTATTTTTTWAATTTTAAATTTATTTATTTATTCTAGTTTGTTACACGTGATAGCAGAATGCATTGCAATTCATGGTACACATATAGAACAGGATTTTTCGTGGCTCTGGTTACACACAAAATAGAGTCATACCGTTCGTGTTTTCGTACATGCACRTAGGGTAACGATGTCCATCTCATTCCACCGTCTCACCATTCTTAACCATCTGCAATGCCACAGCTTCCAAGGGACTCTACAGGAACTGGAGGGGAGGGGAGGAGGTGGGTGGTGGGACAGAGTGGAGATTGATGCTGGGCAGTGCAAAGTCTGGAACTTAGTTTTTTCTCCAAGTTCTGGGCTGGGATTTGTAAAACATAAAGGTAGAAATCTAACTTTTAACAAAAGTGAGCAAGACTTCCTATCTGTTTAGGAAAACAGGGTGACTAAATATTCTTGGAAGTAATAACTTTCATTTCTACACAGGAAATGTGTAATAGGATCCATGACACTCAACATTAAGTTGTAATCTCCAAAGAATTTTGTTAGGGAGATACTATTATAAGCCCTGTTTCACAAGAGGGAAATGGAAAAATTTTAGGGCTTTAAAAATCTATTTTTATTAACACACTTTATACACATTAATGAGATTCATTGTGATATGGGAAACAATTTTAAACTCAAGGTATTAGACTACAAAACCCATTGTCTTAGCCTATATATCTCCTTAAACAATTAAATTATTTGCACAAGAAATCTAACTAAGGAAGCATCCCTCTCCTGGGTTTGTAGCATGACTCACATCCCAAGTCCTCCTCCTGCCAGCTGTCTTGGTTAGGTGTATCCCCTTTGGACGACCTGTTACCTCAGAATTACCTTCSAAGGTCTGGGCTTCTTTTTGATACCTTCTACATATGCTGGACTCCCCCTCTAAAGACTGAACTTGTGTCCAGAACCTTGCTCATGGCCTGTTTCTACTCCTCTTGGACAGGCCTCCCGCGTGACCTACCGAGGGCTCATTCATCTTGGAGAGCTTCTCTTGAAAACACCTGTTATGTATCACAGGATTCTCTCACTGCCTTGGGACCAACTGGCCCAGGCAGCTGGCCRGGCCTGTTTGTACCACCTTATCCAGCGGGTGGGTCTGGAATTGCAGCTGGCTTTCCAGCAAGGGCACTTCAGGGTCTAGCACCAGCTACTGCCTGCCTTCGGTGGCCTCAGTGTGCCACTCACTACCTGCCCCCTGATAGGATACAAAGAGATTATAAATGACTTTGTTCATGTCATAGTTAGAAACAGTACATGTAACCCTATATATGTTAAGGATGTGTGTGTWCTTTTTAATGATATAAACTGTTTTCTTTATGGCACTAGGGGGACTTTACCACTGAGATACACACCCAGCCTATTTTGAGATGATATCTAAGTTACTGAGGCTGGCTTTGAACTTGTGATCCTCCTGCCTCAGCCTGCTGTCACTAGGATAACAGGGGTATACCACAACACCAGGCTTGATACAAGTTTCTTTAACTGACCTTCACTTCAGAATAATACATGATGTTGAGAAATATTTGTGATAAAAACAGGCATTGATAGGGTTGAAACCAGGAGGTGGTGAAAAGTATAATTTCCAATGGCTTCAGTTGAGATTCCAGTTCAACATGGAGGAATGTAATTGGGAGCAAATTACTGAATTCTTTTGAGTTTTGATTTATTTCTAAAATGAGGACAGTAATTACATCCTAATCCAGGGCTGTTTGGAATATTAAATGTTATTATGTATAAAGCTGAACTGCTGTGCGTATAGTATATGCTAAAAACTGTTAGCTGTCATGGTCATCACCAATATATCTGATAAGGTTATAATTATGAAGCAAGATGCTATATGAGTACCTAGTCAACAGGTGTCCAATAAATACCACATTTAATTAAACCTAAGATGTAGCATTATTTAAAGTACTTCCAAGAAACAAAAAATGGTATTGATAAGACAGAGGGAAGATCAATGAAACAGGTAATTGAGGGGAAGGAAGGAGGGAGGGGAAACAGGAGAAAACGCCTAATGAATTTGACAAAATTACACTACATGCATGTATAAATACACCACAGTGAAAAGCATTTATACCACAGCTCTAAAGCACCATAAATGAATGCAAGGTAGACCAGAGAGCAGAGGAAGGGGAATGGGGGAGGGCAGAGGGGAGGGAGAAGGCACTGGGGACTGAAATGGAGTAAATAAAATTCCTGCAGGTGTGATTATGTCAAAATAAAGCCAACTATCATATACAACCTAATGCACTAATAAGAGAAAGGAAAAAAGAAGCATGTGAGGATTTTTTTTTAAAGTTTGTGAGGATTAGATTAAAAAAGAAAAGAAACTGACAATTATAGATAGCATAGCAGATGTCAATTTTAGAGGTGATGTGAAAACTTTTGCACTAAAAATAACAAAAGCAATAAAATGCTGCCCCCCCCACCAGGATTGAACAACTGGTAAGGAGTCTACACCCCGCCCCAGAATTATCTTTTGCTATTCTCGTTTCTCTTACCAAGAGCCTAAGTTCTCTTACTTAACTACAAGAGGTTAATTTTAAATTCTCTGTATCACTTTTATACTCGTATCAGATTCTTGTTTCCTCATTTTAACATGAATTCAACTGCTCAGCATCCTAGGTAAATGAATATGAAAATAAAACCTTCTTCCTAGTTATAAAAGGCCTTCATCCTAATATTCAGGTTCAGTGTCATTTAGAAATGGTGTACCATTTAAAAATCTGACCAGGTACTTTGTGTGAACAAGAAACTAAAAAGACTGGGAAGAAATTCACAAACTTTAGATAAGAAATGGCAGGATTTCCTGGGGACAACTTCATGAAAAGTCCAAGGTGGTAGAAAGGGCAAACAGAATGAAAACAGAACTTTCCTGTAAGATGATTACTGGGTCATCTCACCAAATGCTCAAGGACACTTGCTCAGTCTCACTTAGCAAATCCACTGTTATTAACACAGTTGGTCTATTATTTGAAGAAACAAAACTAAAGACACACCATAATTTCAAGAAAAAACAATAGCAAAACAGAAGTCTGGGGTCATTCTGTTTATTTCACTTAGGAGACTCCATGAATATTAACCGGGCTGCTTGAAAGTCATTTCAATTAGGAATCTCTTTAGTCCTTCATCAATTATTTTGAGTATTCTAGTCTCAAATATATCCCTTTCTTCTACAAACTTCTGGAAGAGATGAACACCTCCACCAACACCAAAATAATGTGCCTTGCTGGCCAGAAGCACCCGCCCATTTTCACCCAGCAGTCTGTGGAACGCCTGGTGCAAAGCACTATAATAGTCCGGGTTGTAAATGGTTTCTGAGGTGAGAATGAGGTCATATTTTACAAAGAGTTTTTCACTGCTTAGCACAAGCTTACAAAACTCAGACCACTCCCCAGAAAAGAAACGGCACTTGCACACCTCCTGGGCTACTCTTGACTTCCTGCATCTTTTTGTATCTGGTTCATTTACATCATTTTCTTCCTCTTCCAAAGTGGAGTTAGCCACTACATTAGGTAGGGTCACTTCATCAATCACCAGATTGTTATAATCTTGAAAATGAATTTCTCTGGCCCCTCCCTTGAGTGCAGTTATACCCAGCAACCCTGATCCACAGCCAAGATCCAACACTTTTTTCCCAGCGAATTTCATGTTGGCCTTTGTGAAATAAGCCAGGAGGTCAAAGGTACATTCCCAGATTTTTAAGCCTCCTTCATAAACACCTGTAATCAGATCAGAGTGTGAAGAAAAATTTTCTGAAACTATGTTTTCTCCAGGGAAGTTCTCTTTCAACAAGGTGGTTTTCACGACTGATATGTTCACAGGCTGGAGACCTGGCAACATTTCTATGACTTTATTTTCTAGCACTTTCTTCAAATCTCTAGGCACAGCATGCTCTTTGGCAAGTCTCAAGCAAGGCCGATCATCATGTGGCCCAGAGCCCTCTGAGCTCCCAGCTGCACTGGGTGGATCTGCATCTGGAGGGGGAGCTGCATTCCCCACTGACTTGGGCTTCCCCAGGTGCTCCTCTGAACATTTTTTGTTCTCAGGTTCTCCCTTTTGACTTACTGACCCTGATGATGCTTTTGAGGAATTCAGAGTCAAAGCTCCATCCCCAGCAGGCGCTAATTCATTTTCCAGATGGTCTTCTATAGTGAAATTAAATTGAAAGGTCATCCTCTTATTAAATGCACACCAGCCTGGAGTTCAAAGGAAGATTCTTCGATTTCTGGACAGAATTTGATGACACACAGAAACCTGCCTCAATTATCCAGTTAGTTCTGTTGGGGTCAATTCCTCTTTAGCTGCTTACAYACCATTACAAACACATTTCCAAAGACTTTTTAGAGGTCTTTGCTCCTCTTTGAATTTAGCCCTAGAGAAAAATAAATAAATAAAATTATTAAAGCAAAATGTCACATTTCACTAAAGTGAAATATTAAACACACTACCCCATAATCAGCTGCCTTTTCTGAAAAAGCTGTAGGGGGAGAAAGGAGATTTGAGAATGTAAAGGTAAAATTTCTAAGCTGATTCTAAGCTGCAAGAGTCTGAGTTAAAGTGTAAAAGAGTGGGCATTGTAAAGCTTCTAAATTGAAAGGCTTGGGCTAAAAATAATAATAATAGGCCAGGTATTGTTAAAATTCCTCTGCTACCCCGGAACCTGTAATCTCTGTAGCTGTTAGAACAATACCTGAACTGCCCAGTAAAATATTTCCATTGATTCCCTGGTTGTTTATTAGCTAAGGGCTCCAAATAGCTCAGACGTAGGCATTGCAGGACCTAAACCAATCAGTTTGAATGTGTACCCCACTTAGGAGCACCAATCACCCCTGTCCAATCTGTTCCYGCCAATGTATGCACTAATCATGGCTCAGGGTTGTTGTTCAATTTTCCCGCGCCTAAAGATGATTTGTTCTGATGTATGCAAAGCCCCCCACCCTCTCCAAAAAGTGTACTTAAGCTCTGCTTGACCTCTGCTCTGGGCTCTGGGCTGCTCTCCCTTCCTGAGTGAGCCTTGAGCCCCAGCATGCTGGTTCAATAAAACTTCCCCCCCTGCAATTGCATGAGGCTGGTCTCTTGTGTGGTCTCTCCCTCCGACGCTCCGTCGGACCCTTACAAGAAAAGATAAACACACACACACACCTTAAAGATCAGAAGCTGGGGAAGAAAATAAACTATAAAAACAAGAGAGGAGCAACAGCAACAGCCACTGCCACCGAACAAAGTCCAGGATTTTCAGACAGGACAGCTTAGGAACTTGTCTTTCAGTGATCCTGACTGTAACCAAACCTATTCACTCCCTAAACTTTCAGAATTACCTCATTTTGTTACTGCCTCAAAAAACAAGGGTGCTGAGGAGGAGGATCACAAGTTCAAAGCCAGCCTCAGCAACTTGGTGATACCCTGTTTCAAAATAAAAAATAAAAAAATATAACTCAGTGGTTAAGCACCCCTGGGTACTAAAACCAAAACAAGAGGGCTGGGACTGTGGCTCAGAGGTAGAGTGCTTGTGTGAGGTACTGGGTTCGATTCTCAGCACCACATAAAAATAAATAAATAGATAAAATCAAGGTACTGTGTCCATCTGAAACTAAAACAAACAAAAATCCTTAAAAACAAAAACAAGAGCTCAAGATTGTAGTCYGGAAGGTGAACATCCCTTTAAAAACATGCAGGTGGGGTTCTCACCAGGCACATTTTTCCAGACCAGGAGCCTGAGCACGTGAGTGACAGAGGGACATGCAGGTGAAAACGCACGGGCTCACATGGGTGACCCAGGTGAGCACACGGGGGGCACGCAGGGGGGCACACCGGTGACAGGGGACGCGTCCGCCCTGCCGCGCCGCGGGTCTGGGGCCACCTCCCGCGAGGTCCAGCCAACCTGAGCCCACCCGTGCACCCAAAGAGCCCCGCGGGGCCAAGAGTACGAACYTGGGACTCCCGGCCTCACCTCCCGGAAGCACCGAGCTGCGAGTAAAGCCACGACGCAGCCGCGGGGACGCTGGCCGCCGGCGGGACCGGGGGTCGCGGGGCGGAGAGAGCCGCGGTGCCCGCCTCGCCCGGCCTCGAGCGCGCACCAGTGAGTGGAGTCCTCCGGGGCCTAGAGGGGCCGGCTTCCTCGGGCGCGCGGCCGCGCCTCTCGGTGGTGCCCGCTTTGGCGCCGCCTCGCAAGGGCTGCCGGGAGGCCGGGGCTTCCGGCGCGGCGGCGGGAGCGGTGGAAGCGGCGCGGGCATCATGTCTCAGGAGCGCGCGGCTCCGCTGGAGGAGCTGCGCGACTGGCCCGAGGCGCAGTGCCGCCGCGAGCTGCCKTCGGTCCTGCCTCGGCTGCTCATATCCTCGCGGAGGACCGTGCTGTGGCGCGGGCCGGGTCCGCCCTGGCTCCCAGGCCCGCGCGGAGTGGGCGGGGCCGCTGGCCGCCGCTCTTGGCGGTGCAGCGGGGGTGAGTGAGTCGGGGTCCGGGGACGCAGTGAGGCTACGAGGCCACGGCTTTGAGAGACGGTCAGTGGATGGACAGGCCTCTCCCCTGCCCTGTCGGCCTCGCTGGGTAGGGCTGCCTCCGCTGTTGGCCTCTGTCAGCGTTGAGTGCCGAGGGCCGCTGCTGCCTGTGCAGATGAGGCTTGGTTGTGAGTGTGACAATGTGACAGTGTAGCCCTAGCCCCACGAGTTCCAAGGAACGAGTAAGAAATGACCATCATTGGAACATTGTACACATGAGGTTTTTTTTTTTTAACAGCTAAAGCCCAATATAAATATTAATATCACAAACAAGTCATTCGGGGAGGCATGAGCAAGATCCCAGAAGGTACCAGTGCCTTTCCTCAGTCACTGTGCAGAGACGCGATTGCCGTCCCGGAGCTCCAACCGGGGGGCTGCCAGCCTCCCCCTCGGAGAACACCCGTGTTCAGGACTGAGTGGCAGGCCTGGCGTCAGGTTTGCGGGAAACAAAGATGAGCAGCCAGGCTCCTTGGCGTCCCCTCCAGGTTCTAGGGGCAATTCAGTAAATTGAAAGTGAATATTCCTACCTTACTTTGCGTCTCAAACTTTACACAAAAAACTCAAACCTGTTCTTCCTGCAGTTTTCTTATCCAAGTAAATGATTCTATAAACTAAAACCTTGAATCCTCTCTATTTTCATACTTAATCAGCAAATTATTCTTTCTGACAAACTATATCTTGAATCAACCTACTTACCAGTATCCCTATTGCTACCACTCTGACTCCAAACTCTACCTCTTGGACTATTATTAATAGTTTCCTTGTTTCTACTTATATCCTCCTAAAATCCATTCTTCAAAAAAAGAATCTGCCCCCCCCCATCCCCAGCAGAGGCTTCTTAATGAATTAGGGAAAAAATCCAAACTTACCTTAAATTCCCATGATCTGAGTCTTGCTCTTTTCTCACACTGGCTAACTACAGTATGTCAACAAATACATCAGGCTCACCTGCTTCAGAAACTTGAGCCCTCCTAGTCTTCTCCAGCCTTTTGGGCATTTCTTTATTCAAGTCTTGGTTCAAATGTTACTTCTTTAAAGGGGCTTTTTTGGAGCCCTCAGTTTAAGGTAATCCCCCAAACCCAGTCTTTTTAAGTTTTATCACATTGCCCTGTACAGTTTTTTGGGGGGAGAGGGAGCATACCCGGGATTGAACTAAGGGGCACTCAACTACTGAGCCACATCCCCAGAAGGGATCTCACTGAGTTGTGTAGCATCTTCYTGTTGCTGAGGCTGGCTTTGAACTCACAATCCTCCTGAGCTGCTGGGCTTACAGGCATATGCCACTGCCCAGCTGCCCTGTTCAGTTTTTTAGAGAGGAGCATCATTAATAGAAATTGTTTAATTTGCTTCTCCCTGCCCTGTTTTTCCTCACTACACTGTAAAGTAGGGGCAGGACTTGGTTTGCTTACTGCTTTTTCCTCAGTATTGAGAACTGCCTGGCTTGTGATAAGTGTTAAGTAAAGTGCTGAAAATAGTGCAAGGGTCAAAAGGATTGGAAGTCTCGGACACTATTTTTTTAGTAGGAGGTAGTATTTTCACTGTTGACGACAAACGAAAGAAAAGTGTAACAAATCCATATTCCTGTCACCCCAACATAATCGTTTTCGTATTTTGCATTGTACATATTATTGTCCAGCCCTCACCTGCATGTTTACATAATCATAATTTAGGATGAATTGTGGAATAATAAAAACCTGACATTTTCCTTAAGGCAAATTCTACCCAACTGAAGCCAAATAGGTTTGTGACTGTACCTGTACTTCATTTTGTTTGCTGTAAAAATGCAAAGATTTCAGAAGAGAATCAATTCTTGTATTAGGTGATGGGGTTATGGACATCCTTGTTACTTGTTGGCATATTCTTTAATGATCTTTAGGTTTTTACAGTAAAACATTTCTAGAACCAATGTAGTTTATGGTGTGGTTATATTAACTTTGGTATTGAACATAGGTAATGAATGTATTTGTAAAATATTTGTAAGCCCCTGCTATGTGCAGAAGGGTTTCAGACTGGTAATGTTGGTAAGACAAGTATGCAAGCAAGAAAGTAGAAATGCTGAGGAGATAGAAATGTCTTTGCTAGAAACCAGAACTGCGTGTATCATATAGTAACAATATTTTTTTATCTTAAAAGCATTTCATGACTACACATGGAGTGAAAAGTTTATCCCTGAATAGTTTTGAAAATATTTCCTTTAAGTATTCTCACATTACTTTTGTTTACTGAATAAACATTAAGTTTTTTAAAGTAAAAGTAGGCCAGGAATCGGTCTCTAGTTTCAGTCTCTCATGAATTCTTGCTAAATTCCAAGAAGGGTCCTCTTTGAACTTATTCTCAGTAACGAATGTCCTATTACTGTGATACTGTATCTTCCTTAATTATTTTACTCTATGTATCAACATTCTGAGAATTGGATTGAACATGTTGGTAAGTAAAATTATTTTGATTGTATGATTTACTTTGATGTYATTAGGTCTGAATTCCACATATATTAATAGATGTGTCCTTACAATTTTGTGTTCCCTTCAGCTTTAATCGTTTTCTGTACAGCCACTGTGACCTTCCATTACCTAAAATGAACAAATTCCTTCAAATTACAATGCTTAGAGTTTTAAATTCCATTTTGGATAAGTGCCAAAAGATCCGTTGCTATGCACATGTGTACATTGTCAGTTTTCAGTGTTGTCATTAGACTTACGTGAAACATAAGTCTACTTAGTAACCTTCAGCATCTAACAGGATTGATGTTGTTTAGAATGTACTTTCTGAGTTATAAAAAGCCGATTGATTGTCTGGGTGATGACAAATTTGTCATTTGGGGAAAGTTGACTTTCTCCTTTTCATCTCTTTATCATTCTTCCTTGATAAGATTTATTCTCTTAGAGGAGTTAGAGAGTTAAGACTGTATGTATATTGCTCAGTTTACTCAGATTTTGAATTAGCTTATTTGTGTTTTACTGAATTGTGGAATTTTATAATTTTGGATCTGTATTTTTTGTTGTGTCTAATTTTTTAAGTAGCAAATTTATTTTTTGTCTTCAATGTAAAAGATATACATATTCATTGTAGAACATTGTAATATGCAGAAAATCAGAAAAGATAATAAAACATCCACTAATCTGCAATRGTTAAGATTCTGATGAAAGCTGTCWCTTTTTCCTGTATGTTCTTGTCAGTCTATCTCATTCTTTGGACATTTATGTATATATTAAAATTGAGATTATATTTATTATTTTGGAAGTTTCTTGTTTAAAGTATTGTGAACTTTTTTAATGTTATAAAATATTTTAATGACAGATCTTATATAGGTTGTCATTGACTTCTTTTTTGCTATTATAGATACCTTTTGCTATTAAATGCTTAATAGTTTCTCCATATAGAATATGTCATTGTGACACTGTACAGAGCTTTGATTGGCAATACTTACATATTCTCACACTTGGTAAGAAGTAATGACTAATAACTGACATGATTTAGTGTTTTTACAAGGTATGTTGCTATTTTGCTTTATAGAAATCCTGAAAATTATGGTAGAAATGTTTTTACCTCATATGAACCACCTGACATTGGAACAGACRTTCTTTTCTCAAGTGTTACCAAAGGTATAGTACTGTTATATTAATCTGCATGTCATAAAGCTTGTTAAAATCTAGCCTCAGACCAGCTATGGTAGCATGTACCTGTAATTCCAGTGAGTCAAGAAGCCTGAAGCAGGAGGATTGCAAGTTCAAAGCCAGCCTCAGCTACTTGGTGAGATATTTTCTCAAAATAAAAAGGACTGGGGATGTGGCTCAGTGGTTAAGTGCCCCTGGGATCAATCCCCAGTACGAAAAAATAAATAAATAAATAAAAATAAAATCTAGTCTCAGTTTGGACAAACATACTTGAAGTACAAATAAGTAATAAAAATCTCATGTGAAAATGTGATGACATTGGTGTAAACTTGAGGTGATTAAAACTATTTTCAGATCCTTTACTGATTGATAGATCTTTTGCTAATTGAATTCAAATTATTGTGGTTAACTTTAAAAACTCTTGTGTTTTAAAGCTATTAATGAAAATTTGGAATGGGTGATGGAAATTTGCTAAATCTCTTTATCATCTTTGTAGTATTTATTGATAATTGTTAAATGTCAGTGTTTGGCAAAATGGAAACCAAAGTTTATTAAAGAAGTCTTGGGGGGGGAACTGAAATTTAAAAAAAAAAAAAAAACTAAAATCAAGTAATTATGAAAAAACATTAAGCTCACAGACTATATTACTACTTTGTAGCTGTAGATGTTCTCTGAAAAAATGTAGCCATACTTTTTTTCTCAAAGTGGAAGGTGCTTTGGTGCTGATTGTAACCCATTTATTTATGATTGCTTGGCCTTTATTGGAGTGGATTTTTAAGTTTGKCTTTTAAGCAGACAATCAGCAGAATTCCTTTTACTCATAGTAATACTCATGGATTATTTTCTGTCTAAAAAGCTTTTAGAATTTGTTACTGACCGCCAAAAACGTTCCTGCTGTTATATAGGTGAAAACAGGAATCTGAGTTCACTGACCTGCAGGAAACGATGTCCTCTGTAGCTTTATTGCCTTGTTGACTGAGTTGTTCTTACAGGGTTTAGGCTGTTTAAAGAGTTTAGAAAAATCTGATTATTAAGATATTGGGGTAGTTAAGCTAGTTAYGAGGTTACATATGCTACCTCTCATGTAGGAAGGGGATCTTGAATTGGTCAAAGGGCAGAGTGTT